TTCTTTCCCGTTTTATACAACGGTATAGAAACTTTGCCATCCCTCGTATCTTCTAAGTTTAATTACAAAATAGATCTTGGCAACCTGACCTCCCCTCCCAAAACTTATAAACTTTCTTAACTCGATAATTGCACAAGTTTCAACATTTATTACGCAACTTTTAACGCGTACTTTTGTTTCGTTATGTTTATCAAACCCGTTCCACTCCCTCCGTTAATTTCATTATTCGCCATGTCTGACGCAATTTTCAAATTGGAATGCGACGAAGTTATTTAACAAACGGTTTGGAAACACGCATACGACGCGTCAAGAAAAACGATTAAAAATATGGAAGCCATGCTCGAGTGCAAGGCTGTAACTCGCGAGGTTACGATAATTCTTGATTGATTATATTTAACGTGCAATTTTGAAAAAAAAAAAAAGGAAATATCACAGTTTCGTGGTTGAATTTTAATTTCAAATCGAAATATTTACGTGATAGACATCGTTTTTGATTCTAAATTTCCTTTCCACTATTTATTTTTATTCGCGATTATATGGATTTGTAAAGTTTTAAAAGAGTATAGAATTTACATCATTTGCGCAGAATTTTCTAACATTTCTTGAGACGTGACCCACTTTTATGAAAGAACCTGCATTTCTCTTCACTTTTGAATAATTACGCGAAAGTACATTTTTAATGCAGGGATTATATTATAATTACTTAATAAAAATATTATCTATTTTTCTAATTTTATTTTTAGTTTGCAATTTTAAAGTATAATAATAAAATTATTATTCTATGATAAATAATACATTTCAAAAGATCTCGAAAAATTTTCCTTCTAGCGATTATTTTATTACATTTAAAAGTATAAATTTCCATAAATTATCGAATTGCGCGTTTATATCTCTGCCATCGCGATATTATCACTTTTAAAGGTTGAATCAAAGTTCAAAGTTCAGTGAAAATTACACATAGAGAGATATTCTAAAATCCTGTCATAAGAAATACAAAATACTTGATATAACATATATAATTGCGAATAAAAATAATATAGTGGAAAGGATAATTTAAAATCTAAAACGATGTCTATCACCGTCCACGTAAATATTTCGAGTTGAAATTTTGAACTTCATCCTCGATATTCACAAATTAAAAATATCCGCAGCCATTTTTAACCAGCCGGATCTTTCATCCTCCATATTTTTATCCTTTTCACCGCATTTCTCGCTGTAAATTGCGCCGACAGATGAACGCGTGGATGAAACGTATCGACACGTATCGGAGTTAAATCAGGCATATTCAAAGGGGATCAAAGTTGTCCGACATTTTCCAGCTGCGTGATATGATTAATCGTTCGCGTTCTTCCCCGCCATTCCGTAAATTTCCATTATGGAAATTTATTTCGACACACGAAAACCGGGATACTTTAATATTTATCGAGCGTGTCGCGTCGAGCGCCAATAATATTTAGCATATTTCGAATAGCAGTATCGATAGAAGTTTCTATAACGGAACGACACCGTCGCGGAATCGGAATTAGTTTGTTTCGATCCCCTTTTTCGAAATTAATTTCGAAGCGATCGCTTCGAAAAGTTTGTTGTTATCGGAAAATAAGTAAACGGATACCGTGCTGTGGATAATTAATTCATACCGGTTGAAATCAATTAAGAATTTGTTGGCGAAGAGTTTCGTTCGTACGCCTCCCTATATATCGATTTATACCACTTGAAACTACTTTATCCCTTATGTACAACGCGGTTTCGAAAAGTTTAACACGAGTTTCGATATAATTTCGATATAATTTCATTCCATTTCAAATTTAGAATTTTGTTATCAGAAACAATTATCGAAAACAACGATTAAATTATGACGAGATTTTTTTCAACTGAAAATTAACTTACGTTACATTGCATTAAATTTCAAATTTGAGAATTTGTTTCGATTAGATTAGGTTAAGAAAACAAAATACGAAAATTGTAAATTCGAAGCATTTTAAGAAACATTTCTAGCATAACGCATCGCTTTTTAATTATTCTCTCCGCGTTGCTCAATTTATTACACCCTCTCCTCCTAATCTGTTTTGTTTTCCACTCTGCTGTCAAGGTAGAAACATCGTTCTACTCGCCTAAGTACACAAGGTCGTGATACTATTTGTCCAACTAAACACGATCCCCACGTTCCACTCGTCCGGCCGCGTAATGTCTTCGCGCTGTTTGGCTGGCTACGTACAAATCCAACGTCTGATCAAATATCGCGTATAATCTACTTGTCTTGACCACATACTAGGTGTTGTAACACGCTGGTTTGGTTACACACTCTATATAATCTACTTGTTTGGTCGTGCACCAAAATACCCTACTTGTTTCGAAGTTTCGTGCACCTCTGTCGCTTGTCCAACAGTGTGCACACACGCATACCCGTTCTATTCGATTCCAAACTCCTCTGTCGCGCCATAAACGTTCCTGTTCTACGCGTCTTCCTCCATACCGACCCGCACCACTTATGGGATCCGTGCTACTACGTAAATTACTTACCGAACAGAGCACGTATTAAATCGTTGAAACTGTTACGTGCGAGGTTTTCATCGATCAGATTAAACGATTAAATGTTTTTTTTTCGATTATTTTACGAATCAAAATTATTATTGTTATTATTATTTTTAGAAAATAATTCGAAGGAGAAATGAATCGATGGAGCATTGAAAAAGTAAATGGAATAAATTGTGATTTAATGGGACGAAAGTAATGCTTTTGTAAAATATTTTGAGAAATGGATAATTAAAAGGGATCATTTCTCGTAATCGAAATTAAAACTTTAAGTGGAACAATTATCCCTTTTAAATTAAAACGTATCTCATCCAATATTTTTCATTTTATATATCTTTGACAGTTTTATTATGTAATAAAGGAAAAGATATTATATCATAAGGAAGGATAAAAGTCTAAAATACATTTTATTATAATCCACTTTATATTCACTTTTATGTATCTTCCATTATAATGTAAAAGTTTTACAGTCGTAATTAATTAGGTCAATGAAAGGAAGTAAGTAATAGCACTTTGACCAAAAATATGAAAATTTTCTGGTCAAGCTATATATTCATATATGAATATTTATAAGATAACTCTAAAGGAATGATCTTAAAAATATTCATTAATCTATTAATAAGAATTAATAATAATTTAGAGTAAGAAAGAGAAATAATTTTTCTTAATTTAATTACAAAGTAAAATTAGTTTATATCTCGTGCGTTTCTATTTATCAAATTATACGTTGTTCCGCTATATCTGATGATAACTCATGCTCGTACGTCAACTGACTGACAAGATATCGTTTCGTACTATTTGCCTGACAAACGTAATACATTTTACTAAGAATAAAATCTAACATGATTGTTAACCGTCTAATGAAATTTTAACGCAATTTACGTTCATACTCTTTCATTAAACTTTTCAGTAAGAATAATACTATTAAAAATAGTATATGCTTAATAAAAAAAAAAAAAAAATGAAAAATAACGACAAGAAATTTATTTTATAAACTTTTACATAATGATGCCAATTTTATTTAGTCAAAATTATTTACTCAAAATTACATATTTATTTAAATTTTTCCATCATCATAGTTTAAATGAATCTATAAATTTTTCAGATGAAAATCTTTCTTCGACTCAAAGAGATTTAAACGAACGCGAAGTTGAATGAAGCAAGAATCGTCCGCATTGAAAATAAGCGCAATGCAGCATCGCGTGACTGTCCGACACGCTTTTGAAAACTCTAAATTCCCGCCCCTATTTTATCCCACGATGAAAAGTCGTGGAGACGCATCTGGCGGGTCCGCAGTGGCGAAAAGCGTAATTTGCCGGACGACAGGATGGCGCGCGCGTCGCCTGACGGGTCGGTGAAATTTTTAATTCCTTGCGAGGAAACGCGGAGGAAACGCCGAGGCTCATTTTTTTTCACGAGGCAATTACACCCGCGCAATACGGCATAATAGATGCGTGGAGATGCGGAAAAGTGACTAAAAGTACGACGATGAAAAACGAAATATCTAGGAGTGGGAACGAATATTTTTTAGCCCCCCCAAAAAAAAAAAAATCTTAATCGAATTATCGAATATCGACTCAAATAGAAAAGATAAAATTGTACGAGTGTGTTAAATATTTTTCTAATTGTTGAAGATATTGTCTCGATGCTGAATAAATGAACATAATTTCTTCGAAAGCAACTCTCGACATTTTCAATTGTATTCACAATCTAATAATTGAAACGAATAACAGTTGAATGCATGTGGCGATAAAAATTCGAAAAAAATTCGAAAAAGATGGATAAAATTGTGATGGAATAATTTTCGAGTTGCAAAAGTTTGACTATGTCGATTTATTCTCGTAAAATCGAAGGAAAGAGAAAAAGTATTTCTCGTCGTGATTTTTCTTCAAGATAGAAAGATCTAATGAAACTGATTTGATAAAACTAAGCCCAGCACTCCGGCAGTAGCGAGGTTAGAGTATAAAGAAGAAATGAACTTATGGAACGGGTGGATTTTAAGCCGGGAAAGCAGTAGAAGTGGCCGAGAGTTAAAAATTAATTTTTCCCGTGGTAGGATTAATGCAAATGTCTGTGCTTTTCCTTGACTAAAATCTTTTCTCTCTCTCTCTCTTTTCCTTTTTTTTTTTTTTCCCCCTCCACATAAAAGTCCTCTTTTATTATTTAAGCTAGCTGTACGAGCAACCAACCCTTTTCGCGTTTCCGCCATGCATTCCTGTAATTATTTTCGAGCGCTATAAATATATTGTAATAAAAATTTATTTGACGTGATAAATTTACCGATTGATCTCGACATTGCTTTAAAAAATATTTCGCTGGAAAAATATTTCGCGCGTTTAATATACGTTCTAGCGTAAATATTCGTCGTCGAATATCAATTTTCGAGAAAAATTGATGGAATTTCAGTGTGAAATTCTCAGTGACGAAATATTTGAAATATATATATCCTCCGTGTTGCTTTATTACAGGGAATATAACTGTGGAGAATTCGAGAAGAAACGAAGATAGCGAAAGAAAAGATACTTTATCGTGCGTTTCCAACCTGGTAAGTTTCAATGCCTGCCATTCATCGTTCCACAATAGAAAAATAACATTATTCGATACAAAAATTTCCTTACTAACCGGATAAAAAAAAATGTAAAACGCTTCTCGTGAATGGATTGCAGATGTTCGTACATTTATAGGAAATTTAAAGATTCCCGTAATGTACAAAGTTCCCTTTCCTTCTTCTTTTAATCAATTACGAAATATACTTCAATAATATAATGATAATTTTTAAAGATATATAATTAAAAAAATATGTTTAGAATTATAATTAAAGTATCGTAAAAAAAACAATTTTAAATTGGATCAAATAGTAATACAACGAAATATAAATTAAAATCTCGAAACCGATCTTCGTTAAGACAAATTAAATTAAATTCCATATTTATTTAAAATATTCATTCTATTATTATTATTCGTTCTATTATTACAGAACATATATATATATATAAGAACTCATAGAAATATTTTTCACGATCGTACCGCATCATTTATTTCAATCCAACGTTCCGCCAACAAAACTTTTCGCGCACAAGAGTCACGATTGTCGAAAGAGCGATGCACGACGCGAATATTCCAATTTCGAAAGTTGCGCAACCGAGAAGAATCGTGTCTCGATTTCGCAGCTGTGACCCATGAAATTCATCGAGATTCTCGAGAGACTCGAGAATCGTTCTTTTTCAACCTCGAAAACGAAACGTTTTTCCCTGCGACCATTGTATTCGCCACACGTTTCGTGTACAAAATATGACGATACAAAAATATAAGTTTATATCTTCGAGCCGTTGTTTAAGAAATTCGTCCGACCCGATAATTCGTTTCGGCTTCAGCCAGTTCGTTAATTTCTCGTCTGCTTCCCGTCCACCCTTCTCCCTTTGAATTCAAAGCTAAAGCCACCAACCCAGTTACCAACCCCTCCTCCCTCCTCCCTCGAGAAGTCTGACAACACACTTGCCTTTTCCACTTTGCCGCCACTGTGCCTGCGCCAACTACTGAACATCGTGTCGTGGCAGTTGGACCAAGTTTCTTCATTGTTGCGAGATAAATTATGAATAATAATGGTTGACGATCCTCCGGCTATCCTTTGATTAATTGGAGTTGCGATAATGAAGAGATTGGAAGGGGTAGAATTTTTTTTTTTAAGCATCTTTCAAGAGAGATAGAAACGAGGTTTAATCAATGAGTAATCGTTGATTCTATAATTATTGAGAAAGATCTTAAAAGGTGAAAGAATTTATTGCAATTCAATGCGAAAGAGTTTACATTATTATATAACGTTAATTGATATAACAAGTGTGGACAGAAATAATATTTTGAAGAAATTTTTATGAGAAACGCAGCAAGTATTATTGATTATTAAAATCTGTGAATTTCTAAGAATTTTTCAATGAAAAATTATTATTCAACGAGAACGTGTTCGATAAACGAGATGGGATAAAATTCTGACAAGAACGTGAAAAAATTTAATAAAGAGGAATAAAAATTATTACGAATTATATTTAACGATCTTTGAAAATTTAAAAATTATAACAGTCGCAAACATTTCGATTAATTCGTTAAAGACGATGAATGAAGTTTTCGAGGCATAGCAAGGATCCAGTCCCATAAACCCCGAGCAATTTGATCGCGATCTCGATTAATCCCGAATTTCTAGATTTCCGGGATTCTCAAGGAGGAAGGAGAAGGAGGGGTAATTGAACAGGGTCCAATGCATGTCGGATAGCCAGAATTTTCAGCCGGCCACCTAATTCAACGCGAATCGATGTCTCGACTCGAAACCGATGCCAGGAAACAGACTCCCTCCCTTCCCCTTCCCCACCCCCTCTTGCATTTCAGACACTCCTACGTGTTTCCTGTTTAACAGATTGCCCCTGTTCCACGAATCGTCCGCGTTTAGCTCACTCAGATTATGCTTTCGATTCTGATTCCGATTTCGAAGAAGAAAATTTTTCGTGTCGAAAATCGATAAATATTTTTATGAAATGTACAAGTAAAATAACATTGTTGGTATCAGGATAAAGATATTTGCAAATTTATAAGAAATTTCAATATTTAAATTATGTGTATTTAACGCGAAGGGTGGAACGATTTTCCTTCTTGGCCTTTATTTCTTTTTTTTTTTTTAATTATATTCACGAATAGATTAGCGTAGTTTAATTATCATATAAATGACTCTGATTAAAATACAAGTCACAATGATGATAAATCCCCTTGCATAATAAACGAGTTTGATTACAATATAATTTTAACTAGTCAAGTTTTATATTAGTAAGAGTGTACATCTATTATTATTATCTGTCAACGTAATATCAATTTCCCAATATAGACAAAAATTAAAAATAAAATTCTCAATCTTAATACATAACATAATTTAAACGCGTAGCATTATAGCATTATAAATAAACGATTAATAAAACAAAAATTCCCAATCTCGCAATGTTAACGCGTGAATTATACGTAAAATCATTGTTAACGAAAACAAAACAAAACGACAACAATTTCATAACAACACATCGATACACGGAACGACAATATTTTCACAAAACATTATTTTCTTTGTTCGAAGAGAGAGAGAGAGAGAGATCATTCGACACCGAAATGGTAAACACCGTGACGTTATTCAATATTTGGATGTTAAAACGTTTCCAATGGGAAGCGCGATCTCCTTTAACAGCGCCAGAGGGAAATTGCACGCGGCCGTTGAAAATTTCGAGCACGGCAAAGTGTAATACAATGCGCTCACGTTCCGCATAAATCCAACCAATTTTTCCGGGGATCGCTGGGCGCAATAAACATTGATCAGCTCCTCGTCCCCCTCGTGACGGTACAAAATAGCTGTGGAAACGAATACGAAAGTCGATTCGCCGATTGATCGCCATTTCCCATCCTAAGAGCCTAAGACGCGTACGTGATGCGGAAACGCGTCATTCGAAATTTCATTCCCCGATTGATCGCCATTCCTATTCGTTTCTTTATGCTTCAACACGCGCACGTGACGTGGAAACGCCTCTTTCTCTTCGCTGCCAAACAAAATCTTACGGTTTCGTAAATAATACAGGAAGAGGAATATCGAAATTCGAGGAAGTCCTATGATATTCGACACCGAGCCATCGTTCAATTGAATTCCTCTTTAATTACACTCAAGTTCAATTCTTATTATTGTTATTTAGACTTAGACGTTGTAAACTGTCTTTGGAAGGGAAAGAGAAGAAGCTCGAAAGAGAGAAGAGATCGGAATCAATTCATTTTATATTAAGATTCGAATTCTCTTTTTTCCCCTATCATATTTATTTTGGAAGAGAAAAACTTCGAATCTTCTTCCATCAAGTAATTACGAAATTTCAATTGCACAAAGAAACACATATCAGGCTCGATTTCTCGATTGATAGTTATTCAATCGCTCGACACCACCGTCTCCATTTTCCTCTCCTTTCCAACAACCACTGTTCTCGCCCTTCCTATACTTTCGATACGATTACCCGATAACAGATCAAAGAGAGGCTCTCCTCAGCTCTCCTTATCCCGCCAGTTTGTACGCATTCCAAGCCTTTCCCTTGGCATCGACAGTATCCAAACTCTCTCTCTCTCTCTCTCTGCAAAGTGATCCCCATCATCCGTGTCTTATAAGCCCAGCCGTCTTTATTACCTAGCGTTGAAGGATGTGGACTTAGGTTAACGGAGTGTTCCACCCTTTTTTTTCGTCTCTCTCTCTCTCTCTCTCTCTCGTTCCTTTCAACCCTCCTTGTGCTTTGGTGCCAAGGCAAAAGACGGCAGTAAACCTCAAACGACCTCGAGTCTAACGAGGGTGCGCATTAGTCACGGGCGGCGAACCGTATGGGCTAAGATATTACGCGTGATGCAATTTTATTTACGAGCTGCGATTACAAGTCGGCCCTTAATCGCGTTTTTTATTTTCGTCGAGCGTGTGTGCTCGTTCGTCGACACCCGGAAACGGTGTCTTATATATATATATATAGTGATTGTGCATCGAGTTATTGTCCCGGATGAAATGGGATATCAGGGGATTTTTCGTAATTTTCATGCGTGTGCACGAAACGTGTAATAGACAGAGATTAGTTTTTGAAGATTTTATTTTTTGAGAATTTTGAGAGAAGGGATTTTGGGATTTGTCTTGTTTCCTCGATCTTTGTGCTTTTATGATCGCACGTGACAGGATTTAACAATGATTATTTTTGGAGAAAATATTTTTATTTGTTATGTGTTTTGGACATTTAACGATGATATTGTCTTGCAGTGTCTAGGAATAATTAAACAAGGATTATTCCATATTTTTGGCGCGATTCGAATCGAAAGTCTTTTCAATTTAGGCGATATTAAGATCCGTGATTAGATTATATGCGGAGAAAGATAGCCCAATTTTCACTCGGTATATAGACACGCGTATTAAATTTCAAGCAGAATTCCGCGTAAGATTAATTACAGATGTTATCTTTGGCTCTGTTGCTACAAGCTTAAGTTACGATTAGAATGTCCTTATAGTCTAAAATACGATGTCTAAGAGATAATGTAAATTAATCAGTTGCTCCCAAGATGTGCCCGGCGTGATAAACATCTCAATCCCAACTACCTAAAACCACTATCTTGCATGATTTAATTCCCTTCCCCCCTCGAATTCCATGCTTAGAATTCATTAACGATCGAACAAATCGATTGTTCAACGAAAAAATAAAATCAATCTACGAAAAATATTAAACTTGCGTAAATGAAAGAGAATCCTTGCAATTGTTGCCGTTTCACAACAAAATCCTTCCCCCCCCCCCAAAAAAAAGTCAAAAACCAATCCCTCAAAAAAGATAAAGGCGCAACAGCTGAAAAATTCATCAAACATCGGCGATAAATCCCTCATCAGAGTCGGGTCATTCGATGCGAAAAGAATTACTATTCGCGAATAAAAAAAAAAAAAAAATGAAAAATTGCACGCAAAAATTGTACAGAGGAACAGAGGTATGAATTCTCCCATGATCGTCATCGAGGAATGGAAAATCGAGGGGAGAAAAGGCCGGTGGCGACTGATTAAAAACGAACGAGAGGATCTCTACTTTTTTCTTTTTTTCACAATGGCGCCAATTTCATCGTGTAATCGGAGGATTACGGATCGAGGGGGAGGCCGGCGTCTGCAGAAATTTATCTACAACGTCCAGCTAAATCGCGTGCGCACGATCCAGCTAGGTGAGCACCTAATAGCACGTAGGTGGCCACAGCCACGTACCTGGGATTTCCAATCGTTCGCCCGGCCACGTTGGTTGGTTCGCTAAAGCTTGATGTAATTGCACTCTGTCCTACGATTCGCCGCAATGATTTGCTGGTTTCAGAAACGCGAATAGCCGAAATCTAGTATATCCGGTCGAACGGCCGGATCGCTCGTATTTTTGAACGACCAGCGTTATGTCACGCCGACAGCATCGACTTTTATATCATTGCGATAACGCGAATTGAAATTGTTCTCCATTTTGTTTTTAATCCATTTGAAAGATTTTAAATAAAAGCGCAAAATTAATATTAATAATTTCAAAAAAAACAAATGTGTAAATAAATTTTAAACAAATATAAAGTTATACCTTCTAGCTAAAATCGATCGAAAAAAATTTTGTTTCAAATCGATAATTGTAAAAATCGAATATCCGTATCGAGTTTCCCTTAAGCAAAATAATCGTGCAACGTGGCAGACTTATTACGTCAAACGTAGGTCGGCTCACGGCTGTTTCCAATTTTCATATAAATCAAACAATTACAACAACTGTCCACAACAAAGCCCGCGACCGGTTCGCCATAAATGCAATTTCACCTCGAGTTCCGCATAAAGTAGTTTTCCCTCCTCTGTATGCATTGTGTTGTTCGAGCAGGGGGATTGTAAGAGTCTTGGGGGGGGTACAGTGGCCGAGGCCGATCTCCTAGCCGGAGAAAGCCGAAGTTGGCCGAAGCCGAGTCGACCGAGTCGTGGTGAAAGGGCCGTAAGGGCTGCATAATTCGTGGCGTGTGTTGATCTTTCGATATTACCAGCCCACTTTGGCACTGGCTACCGCTACTGAAATAATAGATGCCCGACAAAATTCCATCGAGGCGGATATAAACTTTCGTACCATGGTGTACGAATTGCGTTCGATCATTCGTTATTCGATAACGTAATTCAATTGAAATTCATTTTGTGAAGATGGAGAGAGATAGAGAGAGGAACTTCGCATTCGTGTTGACGACTTTACGATTGATCGATCTTGATGGCGTGTTTTTTGAGCGAACGATATTTTCGATGATAATTTTTGACTTGTTTTAACGAAATATGAGTTTTAACAAAATATACGTGCTTTCTTTGTCTTTTTGGATTCTTCGAGATGAAAAATGATAAGAAAGTTTTGGAAAATTGGTATTGCGTGTTTGCAATATATTGTTTTTAAAAATCTCTGATTTCTGGAATAAAAGTTTGCAATTTTTTTCAAATTCGATATTATAGTTTAATGTATTTTTTTTTTGTACTGCTTGTTTCGCTTTATTATTGCTTGAATATTAATTATTGATATGAATATGAGATGATAGTGGAAACTCATATTTCAATTATTAAATTAGATTATTTCATAATACTGTTAATAATAAACACCTACCTTGTTTAGAGAAATAATATGATTCATATAATAATAATAATACAGTAATATCGTGCCAATTCTCCGATCTACAGCCCACTAATCGCAGCTCTGACACAGTAAAGCCAATAATCATCCTAATAAACTATCAATCCCGATACAAATAATTTCCATAAACTTCCGTCAACTGAAATTAAATTGGAAATACATTAGCTTATAACTTAAACTAAAAAAAGCTAATAATACAACATCACATCGATTCGCAATCCACTTAATTCGACTTCAACGCAAATAAAAGCCAATAACCATTCCGTATAAACTACCAAACTACATTCAATTTCTACATATTTTTAATGTAATAACAACATCGACAAAACATCATATTAAATCCTCGATTCTAATCCACAATTCTAACCCGAACTCCAACACCAACACCAAATCCGATAACCACTTGATAATAAACTACCAAACGTATATACCACCAAATACAATACAAACAGTTTCGAGCGATCAGTAGCCAATTCGATAGATAGCTGCAATGGAAACAAATCCCCTACTAGTATCCTCCGTTTCCGGTATCCGTGGCAAGGTCCCTCTCAAGAGTCCAAGGACAGGCTGGTTAACAAAGCCACGGGGATCGTCCCACGGCTACGTGACTAAAGACAGAATTTCCGAGTTTCCACTCAGCTAAGGCCAATTCCCCTTTGGTTTACAGCGGAAGTTCCGCGAGACTCTTCCACGCCTCGAGGCTGAATCTTGGCGGATGGAAATGGAAACACAGCACGTTTGCCAACTATCCGGCCGCGGGCGATATTCGAGCGGGAAGCACGAATTTATGCCATCGCGACCTCCACAAGACGACGAGGATCAAGTCTGAATAATTGGATCGACTCTCAATTGAACTTCCGGCCCTCTGCTTTTGATTATATTGCTCCTTATTATCTGCAATTAACGATGATTAAACGTTATCGTTCCGTTTGAAGCGATCGTGTGATGCTTTCACGCGTTGTTTCACGTTTGTGATTTTATAATTAAGATTTGGAAAAGTTGATGGCGAGTTTAGATTGTTTTTGCAGCGATGCGTTAATTATTTAACGATGGTTAAACATGATCGTTCCGTTTGAAGCGATCGTGTGATGCTTTCACGCGTTGTTTCACGTTTGTGAGTAAGATTTGGAGAAATTGATGGCGAGTGTGGATCGTTTTTGAAACAATTCGTTAATGATTTAACGATAGTTAAACATTATCGTTCCGTGTGAAGCGATCGTGTAATGTTTTCACGCGTTGTTTCGCGTTTGTGATTTTATAATTAAGATTTGGAAAAGTTGATGGCGAGTTTAGATTGTTTTTGCAGCGATGCGTTAATTATTTAACGATGGTTAAACATGATCGTTCCGTTTGAAGCGATCGTGTGATGCTTTCACGCGTTGTTTCACGTTTGTGATTTTATAATTAAGATTTGGAAAAGTTGATGGCGAGTTTCGATTGTTTTTGAAGCGATTCGTTAATTATTTAACGATGGTTAAGCGATCGCGTGATGTTTGAAGAAGTTGAAGGAAGTTTGGGGAAGTTTGAATCGGTTTGAAACGTCTCATTATTCAATGATTGTTACGATTCGTTTGGAGCGATAATTGTTCGAGATTTATGATCTTGTGATTAGAGTTTAAGGAAGTTGGTTTGGTTTGGTTTGAAGCGTCTAGTTAGTTGTTTGAGGAACTGATTTAGTTTAATGGGAATATTATTAAGGATTGGGAGATTGTTAATAGAGTGAATGAATTATTTATTAATTTATTGAATTAATTATTAATTTTCTATGCATAATTCTTGTAATCTTATATCTTTTACAAATTATTATAGATCTTGGATCTTATGGATCTTGAATTTTTATCTTGTAAAATGTTAATCAATCTAAATATAAATTCCAAGTACTTGACGTATTTTCATTATTTATAAATAATTCATTCTAATGAATGAGAATATATGTATGCAGAGATTATAATTAAAATTCAGAATTTTTATTTGAAATTGTTATAAGAGATTGTAAAATATCTAGAATTTTATTTATTTTTCGTGAATTTCGTTCCTTTGTTGAATAGATGATTAAACTCAGTTAGAATTGTTAGACTTCAGGAATTTAATGAGAACGCTTGAACTAAGTTTCGTTGTTGAGTAATGTCAGAATGCGTGAATGGTATTAAGCGGGAAGTTCCTCAACAGATTTGTCCTTTCGCTGTGCGATATTAGATAAGAGCAAGTGGAATCTTCATAAGTGACATTTAACTTGAAGCAGCGAGTGTTCTCCCGAATGCTGAACACTGAATTTCGTTTCGTTTCACTGACATTGCGTGAAATATCGTTACAGAAATACAGAAATAAGAATCGTGGAGACAAACTTTGAAGAATGCTTGTCAATAATAAACAAAAAAGAAATATCCCTTCTTTGAGAAAATATAAAAACACGGATGAGAAATGTAACGAATAAATGGAAAATATAAAACCGAATCGAGAATGAGCGAATAAACAAACCTGAATACACATTATGCATTCCGTCTTTCTACTTATTTTTATTGTATAAAACCTTCACGTTTCGATATTATGAACAAAATAAAACTTGAATAAAATTAATTCAAATTTAATGTACAAGAATAATATAAACGTAATGTACAAATTTTTCAATTCTATTTTGTACGCAATTTTCTATTTCAAAATATCTGTCTTCTTTTTTAATCTTTTAGAAAAGAATATGGACTGTATAAAAAAAAAATTGAATAAAAACAATTATTCGCAGCAAACTGCATTCGTCGAAGATATTCGTCATAGCCACCAACTGTCGATCGACGAAAGAAAATCACTTCTAACGATAAATTCCCTATCAGGCGCGTATCAATTCATCCATATTTCCGGCTATTATTCTAAAAGAAATAACGTTCAATGACGGTAAATGAATGGTTACAAGTCAAAGGAGAAAATTCCAGGAATGAAAGTGGTTAAAAGCGCGACTGAAAACTGATCGATCAGTTCGATATCGGGGAAAAATTCCCAATAATTTCACTATTTTTTTGCACCAGTTATTTTTCCACGATATTTTTGCAACGCATTCTCCCCATATTTTCCAATATCGAAAATGACTTACAACGTAAACTCGATATACACATAGAACATGTTTTTCGACAATGCAACTCTCCCGGGCTTGTAAGTGTTGATAATTTTATCGATTATTTACCTTTTATATTATCGAAATATAAATAAAACTGTTCCCGTGAAATTTTATTCCCCAGTTTCTCTTTTATACACTACAACTCACGGAGAGGAAGGAAATGGATGGAAGAAATGATGCGTTAACCAAAGTATCCCGTTCTATGACAGACAATGGAACGTGGAACAACTTCTTTCACAATTTGATATCCCACAAAGCAGAAGGAACAATTAAGGAAGAAATTGCGTACGTCGAGTGAAATATTCCGATATAGTCAGACATTGGGTCTTGTATCCCTGCAAAAATTCTGTTTCATTTCGATCTTTTACAAAGCGGGAAGAAAATTGGAAAATAAATTACGCGTGTCAAATACAATGTTAATAAAAAGCAGATGAAAGCAGATGAAAAAAATTATGTCAATTAAATTGTGTCCTGTTTCGATCAGACAAAAATTAACTCAATGAAGAATGAATATAGTTGAATAAATTAAACGAAATTTTTTCTATAGCAAATACGAAATTTCAAACGTGAATTTATTTATTAAAAATTCAATCTTATCTCCAACGATTCTTCTTTTCAAAAAATTACTTCACAAAATGAAACGATTAATCCAAAGTAATATTTTAATCTTTCTTTACGCTTCATGGGCGAAGAGTAACATATGAAATAAGCATACACGAGTGTAATTTCCCTTCATTTTATTTCCACCATCTTCCCTAATCTGTACACGAACGAGCACGAAGATTGAACATCATTGGGAGGCAGGGAAGGGAGTATTCATCAGGCAAAAGTGGAGAACGGCGTATACTAGAATTCACTGCTGGCCACCGATAACTCGATGCCCGTGTGCATGATTAACGTCATTAAACCGTGGATGAGCAACGAAGACGCGATCAAAAGAGATAACGCCCGTAGACCTCGATCCTGGCGGAAGATTTTGTCGTTACGATAAACTCGACCGATGCGCACAATCAGCCGACCGGTGCATGAAGCACACACGATGCCCCATTTTAGTTCACGTAAATAAACGTGGACGCCATTGGCCGAGAATTAATTGTCAAGGGAATAAAATGAAATAAAAGCAACAACAATTCTCGAGAAGATAATATGAAAAGGTTGATTAATTTATGTAATTGGAGCGGTTGTAATGGAAATAATTATTGCAGATAATTAGCCGAGACAAAGGTCTTTATATTACGTGACAATGAAAATGAAATTGAAATGAATATTATTCGATTGGAAATAATATATAAATATCGTATTAAAAATTTAAAATAATTGATTTCTAGTTACGAAAAATATGTAAAAATAATTTTACATATATATATCAACGCCCCTTGAAGATTAAATTCGTTACTGGATTATTGATCCAATTTTTTTATTTATAAAATTACGCTGCAGTGCATCAATAATTTAATGAGCGTTATTGTAATTATTGTGTATGCTTAACGATGAAAGATAAAGGAAACGGAGGGAGAAAATTATGGACGATAAGTCAGAAGACAATGGTGAAGGATTGGGCACGGATCGGTACGTGCTTCGTAGAAGTTGCACGAGGAAAAGTGCAGTGAATTACGCGGTACGTGCACGGGTTGCGAGACTTGTCAGAGTTTTGAATGAAGGCCGGTTCGCCTGAGTGGTTGAATAGGGCTTGAGAGGAACCCTGGTGAGCATTATGCGCCCATTTTGCATAGAATTTTGAAGGACGAGAAGATAGATATTTCCATTCGATCCTTTACCACCGATCACAGTGATATCTTTTTTAAAATATCCTGAACAAAGTGTAATAACTGATTAATTCAAATTATTCTCCATCTTTTTCCAATTATTAGTATAGATATCGATTCTTGGAACTTTAATAAGAATAATTTTTAAATAAATCGGTAATGACGAAGAATTATGAATTTTTAATTCTTTAATTCAAAAATAAATTCAAATATACGAACCATTGTTGGAATTACGGAATTATGGATGGTTCAAACTATTGCATCGTGACACTAGCTATTAAAAATCCACTTAACGAATTTGAAGCATTTGCATTCGATCCTTTACTATCAGTGACATCTGTTAAAAAAAATAGTAACATTCGATTCTTGGAACTTTGATAAGAATAATTTTTAAATAAATCGATAATTGTTGGAATTATGGAATTCGAATTATCGTGACACTAGCTTAAAAATTCACCTAACGAATTTGGCGAAGCATTTGCATTCGATTCTTTACTATCAATGATATCAATGATATCACCTTTTTCTAATGACATTTTTTCCAATAGTTAGTATATCGTGCATACGTTAAAGAAAGTAATAGCATTCGATTCTTGGAACTTTGATAAGAATTTTTAAATAAATCGGTAATTGTTGGAATTCGAATTATCGTGACACTAGCTTAAAAATTCACCTAACGAATTTGACGAAGCATTTGCATTCGATTTACTATCAGTGACATTTTTTTTAAAATATTCTAAACAAAATTTAATAAGTGATTAATTGTAATTATTCTCCACCTTTTTCTAATGACATTTTTTCCAATAGTTAGTATATCGTGCATACGTTAAAGAAAATAGTAGCACTGGATTCTTGAAATTTTGATAAGAATTTTTAAATAAATCGGTAATTGTTGGAATTAAGGAATTATGGTTCGAACTATCGTGACACTAGTTATTAAAAAATTAACGAATTTGATGAGGCATTTCAAATTGCAATTTTATCGTGTAATTGAATATCGTTTCGAAAGAGAGATCCAGAGAAAATAGAGTTCAAGGAGTCGAAGCTTGTTGTAAAATACCCTTCTTTTTCTCTGCCCAGTTCAAATGAAATCGTTTCGATTTTTCATTTCAATATCGACGATTTATCCGAGACCTGGATTCAATTTCCAACAAGAATCACGTTTTCCACGGGTTTTCCAATGTTTTAATGCCATTGCGCGGCGTAATTAACCTTCTTGTTTACGATTTTAATTTTACATGCATATTAAAGTACGTAATTAAAGCACAATGTGATTTTGAAAATTGTTTCCACGATGAATATATTAACAA